AGCTAGTTTGTCTGGCATTATTTGACAGTTTGGTTTGGTATCTCAGAGATAGGTTTTCTGTATTTTCGGAATCAGCTATTATTCTAGTGGGTATGTTACCCTATACGTTTAGGTAAGGTAAGGTACCCAGAGGCAGAAAGGCTAATGACAGTTCCAGTTTTCTAGTTCTTTTTTCTTTTGGTTCTTGATTGTCTACATTTGAGTTTTCTCAATTTAATAGATGTCTTTAGAAGCTTATGATGATTCAGATGCTTAGGTTGTGTAGCATGAGGCTTTGGGTAATTAGAAATGCTCTGCCAAACCCTTTGAGGGTTTCAATGAGTTGTACAAGCCTCCTTTTACTGGTGCTATTCTGTGCCACTCTGAATGACCGGTGCTAAATTTGATTGACTCTAGGACTATTCTTTTGGTCCTGTTCGAGTTCATTCTTGATTAGGATCACAACCCTAAACCCTAAGCCCTATACCTTAACCTTGCATATTTAACATGGTAGTCTGCTGCACAAAATGAAGACATCTAGTTCTGCCATCTGGGAATTTTGTGGGGTGTTCATGTTCATCCTGTTTCAGTTGACTTTGCTTTCATTCACGGTGGTCAATCATCAATTGAAGTTTAAAACAGTTTTTTCATATCACGTCTCGAATACAATTTTTGCATGTCAAACATGCCAGGAGATGTCCGTCCACTCTTTGGATCCTTGCATGTCCGTTGAGTCCATGACAAGTTTCATCCAAAAATCTGACTTGTTCATACGAGCATAGATAACTTCATCAATTTCATTGTATGAAATGTGAAATGTTGAAATCATGTTTGAGGATACATCACCATAACCACTTCACTGAAGCGGAGCAATGGAACGAGTGGGCAGCACAGCACATATGGTATGTTTGGCAGTAGGGAATTGGAGGGTGAGAAGTGGAAGTTGAATTCAAAATTTGGTGTTTCTGGTACACTTGAAGTGGCTTCTCAGAGAACTGGGTTCCATCAAATTTGATGAAACTGGGTTCCACACCCAGACCCAAAGAACTACTTCTCTGAAATTTCTTATCTGACCATTTTGCCCTAGCACCTTCTCTCCTAAAACAAAGGATGATGGTGAAGATGGAGGACCATGGTCGACGACACACTCCAGATTGATGGCGATGTATGACGACACTAAATTTGGTTTTTAGATTTGATTTCATGAATTTTTCTTCTTCTACAGTGGTTCACGATGGTGGTTCTTCCGTGGATTCAGATCTGGTTCCTCATCTCTCTCCATAGCCATGCCATAGATCTGGTCCCTTATCTCTCTCTCCATAGATTTGATTTTCAAATCTGGTTTTTAGATTTGGTTTCATAAATTATTTAAACTTTGTTCCGTCTGTTGTTCATCCGGATGGTGATTCACAGCAAGGAAGGGGTTTGGCGGTGGCCAATGGTTTACAGCGAGGAAGGGGATTTGCAAGCCGCTTCCCCTCGACCCCTTTCTTTTTTTCCTGAAATCTGGTTCTTGCTTGAAAGTGGAAGTTCATGTTTGCTCGGTTTACTGGGTGTTGAATATTTTCGATGACGTTCATGCCTGATGCAAAGGTGGTTGGGAAGATGGGGACGAGGATGGAAACTTCTCTTTTTTTTTTTTTTTAAATTGGGGTATATTTTTGTCTCCAAAATATAAATATATTTATTAAATAAAATTATTATCTCACTTTTATGAGCGTACTAAACATATTTTTAAATTCATTTTTACCTTAACCCTAACTTCCAATTCCACTTCCACTTCTATAAAAATTTTTATCTGTACCAAATGGGGCAATCATTCAATGATAGCAGTAGCCTCAGAACGTTCTATAGAAGAGTATGGTTGGAAAAGAAGCTCCCTTTTTAGTTTTTGTCGATGAATAATGAAAAGGTTGCGCATGTTGTAGAGCATGTGATGGAACTCTGTCGCCCACTTTGGGTGTGTTGAATGAACTGGAATATCAACGTTGGATCGCATCAATTGGCTTCGCCAATCATTATTAATTCATTCATTCTCATCCGTGAAAAAGGTCCTCATCCAGGTCTGATGGGGAAAGTTTAGGAATAGATTTAGCGCTTGGTCACAATTCATGCACGCCATGTTTAGAGTGATTTGCAGTGAATTTCTAGTACAAGTCTGAAAATTATGGAGATTTAATTTTTTTGGCTAATTTCAAATGTCTCTAATGAAAGGTTATTATTTAAGCTGAGAATAAGAGGTTTAATGCTTTTGTTATGGAGTTATGATTGTGATTAATTTTTCAAGGACAATAGTTAAAGGTTTTATAATAGGAATATAGGATTGAAGCGGGTGTTGTTTAGTCAAATTTTTGAATTGTTGGAACACAGTTGAGGGCAATTATTTTAATATAATTTATTACCAGTGGTAGTTTGCAAATTAAAATTAGAGATGTAGTTATATTGTAATAAAAGTTAATTGAAGAAAGTGAACGATCGGCTGACCCGGAAGAGTGGTTTGCATATTGCATTTAGAAGATGAAAATATTGAAGCACAATAGTATCGTCATGTGTCTTGGTGATCACCCAACCGATTTGAGATCAATTTGGATTACACGGGTCATTTATAGACATGATGTCTGTATCAAATGAAAGTTAGAGTCAGGTATTGATTTCAATGTTCACCGTTGACACCATCCTAATACCAAACTGTATTACTAGAGTCATTATTTAGAGGCTTCAACAATGTTTCGCCTCTTATTTTATTTTATTATTTTTTGAAAAAAGAAGTTTCGCCCGAATGTAAGTAGAAAAGGGGACAATTTTCAACATAAAACACTTCAATTTAAGTTTTCTAAGATCATCAGTACAATTAGCCTTCTTGTTATTGAGATGGATTGTCTCGATCTCTTTAGAGTCCTGGTTCATAGAGACATTTCATATTGTCCGTGGGCTTGTCATGATGGGTTGCTAAAAGATTTATTTGGCTATAACGGAGTCCTTGCATTTTCTCTCCTTGTCGTTTATAAAAGGAGATGACAATTCTGCTGCTGACTGGTTGGCAGCATCCTCTTTAAAGAAAGTGAATGCAAATAGATGGGTTTTCTGTCCACCACCCCCTCTCATCAGTCTTATTCTCAAGGATTCTGATCATTCCCAGACTTCATTTCAGCATCCTGTGATGAATCGTGACACAGGAGGAATTGGTTGACTTGCTGTCTTTTTTCTCGTTTTGTCCGTTGTCTTTTAAAGGTCTTTGCCTTTTTGGCTTGTGACTTTCTGTTGCTGTTCCTTTTTTTTCTGTTTGTAATAATGGGATTATTGGTTAAAAAAAAAAGTTTTCCAAGATTATCAAACTGAAATTCTCGAGATGTGTTTCAGCAACAAAGTTTTGGCTTATCAACACCAAAAAAAAAAAAATAGTAAACATTAATTTCTAGGAGAAGAAGTTATGATTATTTAAATACAAGATCTTAAATTTGAGTTTGTGTAAATATAAAAAATGTCTTTGGAAAAATTACTTTTAAGTAGACTTGATAATGATTGAATTTGATCTAATCTTTATTAAAGAAAAAAAAAGAATTCAAGTTAAAAATTCGAGTACGGTTTCTAACAAAATCAAGATTCTTAAACATTTTCTAAGATTCCCTTTTTGGCGGGGATGATAGGGTTATCTTTATTATTAAAACTTTATTTATATTAGCTATTACATCAAAAAAGAAAAGAGACGAAACAACTTACTACTTGTAACGAATATGAATCAGTTCCCTTTTTTCTTTTCCTTTTTTTTTTTTAATTTTGGCCGCAAGGACCAGTTCCCTGTTGCATCTTGCAACCGCCACAAGCTATCATCAGTAGACAGAACACTTGATAGAGAATAAATAAAGGAATATTTCTTATTCCATCATTTGTGCCACCTAGGAAGTCACCTATACACATATCTGTACGAATGCGTGTGGATGCGCATGTACCGTCAAAAAAAAGAAGTGTATATGCATTGATTTGACTTGTTATATATTCTCTCCGTTAAATAAGATATTTTTAATTAAATTTTATTTTTAATAAAATAATTATTAATTTTATATTAATTCTATCTTTTTATATTTATTTTTATTAAACACTTTGTAATAAATATAAAATCATTCATTAATAGGAACATTAAAAAAAAAGATAACGATTGCATATTAAAAAATTTTAAAAAATTTATATTTTTTTAAATTCAATTTTTCAAAAAATATATTTTTAAATGAAGTAATGATTTGTGATTTCTACTACTCATACAGCAATTTTTGTTATTTAAATTTTTAACTTATTTTTAATTTTAAAATTCACTTCTTTTAATGTCATTGGAGACAGTCAACTGAGCATGCAAGTTTAAATAACTAAAAAATAATAAGTTCAATACAAGATCTCATTTCTGTGCTTCCCAATTTCCGAATTGTCCATTTTAATATAAAAAAAAATTAATTATTTAATCCTTTTAATTTTGATTTAATTGTAACTCAATTTTTAAAATTTTGATTCAGTTGTAAATTAATCTCTCAAATTTATCTTTTATAATTTAATTCCTGAAATTTTAACTTCTTAAATATTAATCCCTATATTTTAAAAAATAAAATTATAAAAATTAAAAATATTTTAAACTTTAAATATTAAAAAAGTTTAGTAATTTAAGATATTAGAAATAAACTTTAAAATATTTTTAATCTTTATAATTTTATTTTTTAAAATAAAAGAATTAATATTTAAAACGTTGAAACTTCATGAATTATATCGCAAAAAGTAAAGTTTAAAATTAATTTACAATTAAGTTAAAACTTTAAAGATTAAATTATAACGAATCAAAATTCAATAATTGAATTATATTTAGATTAAAATTACAAAAATTAAATGATTAATTTTCCTTAACATAAAACTTACAAGCAAACAATATGTATCTTTTAAGTTATCAAAACTCGATGGTTGAACACAACTCGAAGCAAAATGCATACGTAGTTCAAGTAGAAACACCTCCCCAAAAAAAAAAAAAAAATCTGTACAAATGAATAATAACAGAGGACGCTTCATGTAATTAACAAAAGAGACGACGAGGAAAGAGGTCTCGCTGGGTCCTTTTTGTTGAGTTGACCAAACAAAAGCTCTAATAAAATGTACCAAATATAACATGCAAACCGGTTTAGATATGATCCCCACAGTGAAGACGCAAAACAGACCGGGCAAAATAAAGACTTAAATGTTGCATACGGGAAGTTAAGCACAAAAGTCATTACGAATATTATGAGGCGAGACTTGACCTCTCCTGGGCCTAATAACTGGATTAAGCTTGTTAGGATACTCGTTAATCCAACTGATTGCAAAAGCCAGACTCATAGGGTGCTCTGAACAGCTGGAAATCTTCAAAGTGAGAGTCATCTTTACAGTCTGAGTATGACGAGATGCCGATACGGGCATCGACTGGATGTTGACAAGTCTGCCAGTAGTCTGACGAAGCACAAGGCAAGCACTGAATCATTGAGTGCGTTACAGGTGGAGTCGTACCGGTAGGAGTTGTGCGATTGGAGTGCTCTTGAGAAGCAAACTTCGTCTCGCATGGAGCCCAAGAGGTGGTGGTTGACAGAAGAGAGAGAGCACGGTGAAAATCTTGTGTAGCATTATCATCTGATGAGGTCACGAAATCTTCTATCCCTGCAAGTGTTTGTGCAATGTGAATAATAATATGGCTGGAAACAAACAAATTTTGGAAACAACCTCACTTCAGGACTTAGCTAAGAACCCCAATTATTCTGTTCAATGTTGCATGCCTATATGTATAATGATAACCAATGCTAATCCTACAAACCGAGCATTATAATCTCTGGCGACTTGACAGGAATCGCCTTCAGCTTCTATAAAGATAATCTAACCACCACTATTTTCTTTTTTGTACTTTTGGTTAAATTATAGTTTACCAATGTGAATGTCTTCCTCTGATCACTTAAACTAGTTTGTTCAGTAGCTGTATGGGAAATTTTGTTTTTCACAATAGGCAGGCTAAGAGATCTGTGAAGGAGCTGGCAATAGCTGGCGGAAAGTAATCAACCAATCAGAATATCAAAATATATAGAAAGCCCATTCATAAGTTATGAACAAGACATGTAATGTATATAGAAATGTGTCTATTATATGCTTTAATGAAAAACGTTCCGAATTAAATCTGTGGGTGGATTCATGAAGCTGAGTTCTCAAGAAAGAGGTGAAACGACCTGGATTGATAGTCTTTGCTGTTATGCCTTTGGAAGTGCAAAGGCCACCGGGACCTTCAGAAAGCTTAGAAAAGGTACTTGGGATCTCATTGAAGGGCTGATGCACCTGCCCAATGGTACCTCCTGCTTTTGCAGCTTTCATGAGAAATTCTTTCGTTTGGGAGATGCGGCTGCTGTATGCATCTTGCCAAGCAAAGTTGATAGCGGCCGTTGAATTAGTAAAAGGGCCCATCTGTTGCCTCCCATCTGCAGGGTATGCATACATCAGATCAGTATAGTTTTAATGGCACTGTCACGAATTTAATTGCTTGCACTATCACGGACACTCTGGTCAGTTTTTCTTATGAAAAACTAGGGTTTGCGGTTGTTTGGTTTGAATTTTGACTTTAGAAAAGTCTCAATTGCCATTTGCTAAATTTGTTTGTGTAGGAGTTTCATACAAACTCGTGGTCTTTCAATAGCAAAGGTTAAAAACATATCTTTAATTAAATACATCTTTCTGCTTTCTGCTTTCTGCAGGTGACATAAGTTCCCATGACATGATGACACAGTGCCTTTCTTTGCTCAGGTTTATCCTAACCCAGTTTCCTCCAGATTAAGGCAGTTACAGAATCTTGAGCAAACTAAAGCAAATTTAGCATGTTTGGAATCACAATTTCAAGGTGTGTCAAAGCATGGTTTTGGTAGAAGCAACAACAGCATTACTTCTACCAAAACATGGTTCTGAAACCCGTCTTCATGTAGTTCCAAACACACACTAAGATGTGCAAATAACAGTAGCAGAATATCTAAACTTCATGACTCTAATTTGCCATAATCTTGAATATGTCAAGCAAAGCTGTAGCTAGCCCAGGGATGGACCGAGAATATATATTTGAGGGCACAATTTTATTCTCTCTTTTCTTTTTTTAAAAAAGTTTGACCACGGGGGATGATATTCCAGATATCGAGTTATACCATATGGTGATGAGGACAAAAATGATGAATTCAACTGGACTTCAGGATGAGGCTTCCGACGCCTCGCATTATGATCAGAAAGACGACGCCGGCAACTTCTTTTTTTTCCATCAAACTCTGAGAGACCGTGGAACCTTCAACATTATAAGTATATGATCATTCACAACCAATATTTCCTAACATAAGACAGAAGCACTGGAAGTAAATCCCGATTGATGGATCATAATGAAATGTGCATGACAATTAATTAACTCTTGATTAATCTCCAGAAAAAATCGTGTGGCTATCCAAATAATCAGATGTTTGTCAAGAGTCTTTACCTGCTACATTGCTGGCAAAATCTACGCTCCTTACCACCTACAACGACATTTGGGCATTTGGAATGATTTTCACAAACTCTATGCTTGCGATGGTAATCTTTAGCTGATGATAGGTCAAGGTTACAGCCTTCAACCTGGCAGAGTGGAGGTTGTGAGCTCTGACTATTTGACTTACATTTTTTCCCAGCACTCAAAGATGGCATGGGAATCCCAGAGTGAGATGCATTCTTTGTATCACTTCCAACATAGGCATCTTCAAAGTACAGCCGTTTGCCAAGCTTTAGACTGTGCAATGGTTCACCAGAGACAGAAGAATGCTCAAGTGCGGGAGAATTTCCAAGAGGCTCTTCTTTTGACCTCTCTTTCTTACCATTAGCATCTTCTTGGGATCCTTCAAAAGTGAGCACTGATGTTCTGCTATACCCATTTGATGAAGAATTGATGGAAGCTGATTTTGAGCCCCTTGATGAAGAAGTATATCGCAGCACAGACCCAGAACTATCAATACCACATGATGGATTGAACACGCCAACATTGATTTCTCTATCTTCTTTGCCACTCCAGTCTACCGGTTTTAACCTAGGATTCTCAGTTGCTTTTGTGTTAAAAAGTAGGTGTTCCCAGTCCCACTGTGAAAAAGATTTTGCACTCCAGTCCATCTGAAGACTTGAGAGATTCAAATCAAGTGGTCCAGGCAATCTACAAATATATTTAAAATGAAATTGTTGGTCTTAAGTTTATATAGAAGCAAAAAGTAATACAAGCTCAAGTCTAGTAAAAAGCCAGATAAACTGGAAGAATAATAAACCAAATCCCAAAAGCACCAACAAAACCGATATTAAAACAGGTGAGCAATTGCCAAAATACACAGATTTCAAATAATCTATATCTGCATAATTTTCAAAGTCAAATAATAATTAGTCTTTACAAGACAACATAGATTCATTTGTTTCTGCATCATCAATGCATGTTGTGTTAACAATGACATAAAACTAAGTACAAAGTTAAACAGAAATTGAAACAGGCAATGCCAACATCCTGATGGGAGAAGCAACTCGTAACTCCATTGCCACTACATACTAATGAAGTGTGACAACATTCTTCACCACAGAAGAAAATTCCCAACCTGAGATGCCCCTGGAAGAACTTTTATGTTTTTAATGATTATTAAAATAAAGAAGTTAATTGCATAAATCCATGCACGCTCTCTCTCTAGTGTTCTGCAAATCTCCGTCCACAAGTTATGAGGCTGTGAGTGGTTTTAGATTGTGATTAGAGCTTCAAGTTGAAATAAAGCCATCCCTACCCTTAAGTTTACAATAGATGGCCATTTAACTCTAGCACCGGTAAAGTTTATGCAGGCACCAACTGGAACTAGTCAATCTGTCATAATTTGTTAGTTCAGCTCCCGCAGAACGTTAGCACCATTATTTCCCTATCTTCTAGCCTTCAACAGCCTTTACAGGGACATTTATAGCATTGGCAGCAAGTACCAAACCTTTGCCTATAGGGTTTACCTCTTGAGGTGATTTAACTCTTCCTACTATTGTATACTTATTATACATCTGGGAAGCTTCAGTTCTAATAAAGATTTTGCTTTGAAGATCTTGATCACTAAGTCACCAGAAAATTTACGTAAATGAAATTTAAATGTAAGATACTAAAAGATTATTTTACACGCATCCTGAATTGTGAGAGCGACCTCCTTTATGTAATCGTCCTTTCAATAATTCGCTTTTGCCACAGAAATTTCAAGTAGTCAACCATTGAATAGGACCCAAAACAACCCAAGCACCCAAAATGATTATCTGGATAAACCAGATAACCAGAACCCACAATTATTTAGCAACGGCAACCACAGACCTCAGTTTAACCTTTATTTTTCGATTGAAAATAAACACCTCCAACCTAACTTCGTAATCATAAATATCAGCAACAAATCAACAAACCTGCAAGGAAGCTACCTAACGGTCCAAACCAATCACTGAGCTCTGACTCTAAGGAGGGCGGGGGGACTTATTGTAACCCAACATGTTAAGTCGGTTGATTTTCAACTTTCCTTTTTCAAATAAATTCGGATATAGCTGTTACTTTTAACATGTAATGCAATGGAATTATGAAACCCCTTTCAAAGATCACCTAAGGTTTCACTAAGAGAGGAGAAACATTTCGAGAAACTACCGGCATCGTCTCGTTCTCGCACTCTCAGTGGCATCACTTCATAGAGTAAATAATAAACCCAAGCGTCGCAAAACGGTAAAGACGGCGCAGAAAAAGCATCTTTTTCATTGGCTAAAAGCGCTCCTTTACACAAGGCTTCAGAGAAAAGGATATTTCAATCTGACTCCGGCACAAAAGGAAATCGTAACTAAAGTAGTAATAATAATCATCAAAATAAGAATAATAATTAACAAAAAGAAATCAAACATAACCGCCGCAAAAACTCTACTTCTCATCTTCCATCGCGGCCAGCATAAAACGGAAATAGAAAGAAATACCTAAATAGGCTAGTCAAATAAACTCAATCTCTTGAAACAGTAAACGATCTCTATTTGTGGTTTTCATCAATATCAGAAACCAAAAAGTTCGCGAAAACATCAGATTCCAAAGGAAGATAGAAGAAATGAAGTTTAAGAAACCGATCAACACGGTGCTCGAGGTCGTGCAAGCTAAATCATCAAAAGCATAAATTCCAGAGGATAAATCGCAGGGCTTACAGATTCCGAAAGAGGACCGAGGATTAAATAGGAGATATCGCTGTGCATTTGGATTCGATGCATTCCATTGGTGCTCACCAGCAGAGGCGGACGTGGACGTACCAGCAGAGCTCTGAGTCGCTCCTCACACACTTAAGGTGCATTTCTGCTTTTGGGTGCAGCCTGCTAGCAAGCAGCCTTATAACTCCAGTGTCTCTTTTCCATTTTTCACTCTCTTTTCTTTTTCGTCTCTTTTATGATCCTCTCAATTATTATCGGACATGAATAATCCAGCGAATACTCATGATCGGGTCGGGTCGGGTCCATCCAATATGGGCGGACTGCCCGAGTTTTTTTTTTTTGGGGGGCCTTTTCACTTTAAGGAAGAAGTTCACCATTTTATGCTTTTACAATTTTTTATTAATATGGAGTAAAGAATTGGGAAAATGACAAATATTTTTTTAAAATTAGAAAAATGAAAATTTGGTCTTGTAAAATCTCACAATGCTTTCTAAATTTTAAGAGATTTAATTATCATTAAAGTTTTTTATAAAATAATAAAAATACTCCTTTATTTAAAAAAGTGTAATAATTTTTTTCATCATAACTTTAATTTTAAAATTCACAATTCTAATTTTGTAAATAATCAAAGTGTTTTAGGCATTTATAATTTTCTCTTACCTTTTTTCTTCAATCAACAAAATACAACAAAGTTCTTTATTCACAACCTTGATTTTAAAATTTATAACTCTAATTTAATATATATCTAAAGTGGTTTAGACATTTGTAAATTTTTTTCACCATTTTTTTAATCAATAAAGTGCAACAAAGTTTTTTTTTTTCATTCATAATTTTGGTTCTAAAATTCACAATTTTGGTTCAATAAATGACTAAAGTAGTTTAAACGTTTACAACTTTTTCTTATCATTTTATTTTTTAAAATTAAAGGGGGTTTTTTGTCATTTCATCAAAGACTTTAATGACTATTAATTCTTTTAGGGCTTAGAAGGTGTTATCACATTTTGGAGAACCAAATTGTTATTTTCCTATTATTTCAAAGGGATTTATTTATTATTCTCTCTAAAAAATTATATGAAAGAGGAAATATTTTTAAAGATAATATTATTAAGGAGTAAATTTAAAAATTTCTTTCTTTCTTTAAACGATATCAATAATTTAATCATATTTTCTTAGTTTTACTTAGATAATTAGAAGTTTATGCACCAGAAGGAGCACTGTGAAGTGTGTATATGAACAAATGAGCAGTAATTTAATTTTTTTAGTTTTACTTTAATTCTTTCTTCATTTAAAAATATTAAAATTAAAGTCACAAATCAAAAAATTTGTTGTGAAATAAATAAAGATCTAGAAGAAGAGAAGAGAAAATATTAGGAGGAGAGAATATCCAGAGAGAAAGAGGAGAGATAGTTCTCATTTTAGTGTGTAGAATATATTTGAAGTATTTTCTATTTATAGGTACATATATAATAAAATACGCAACATGATAATAACTAAAAAAATATTATGGTAACCGAAAATTATTGGAGAATCTAAAAAGTATGATGAGATGATGAACATCCACATAATATTTTAATATTCATAACACTTCCTCTTGGATGTCTAGACAATGTGCCTCATTAAAATAAATCTCTTGGATATCTTCAGATTTACAGAAGTTACCTTATTAAAAACTTTACCAGAAAAACTCAATGGGACAAAACCTTATTTAAGAAAAAAGAGTACAATATAATTTTTACTTTCCTTAATGATGATGTCACTAACTATTCTTAAGTCATTGTCCAATGAACTTGTGCATCAATTCTTGAATATTGTTGTTAAAGATGCCTTTGTGTTTTGATATTCTCTCATGGCTAGACTATATATGAATCATTGCCTTCATATGATATTTTCAAACATCACTCTTCACATATATTCTAAATATGAATATATTTTTCACTTGTCATATATTTCATGAGAGTAGCAAAACAATCTTGATATACATGTATTTTCACAAATAAATAACCTCTTAGAGGTCAACTCGTATGGTTTCAACTAGACATATAAAACACATGCCAAATCAATTAATTTTGCTCCTAAATAAGTTTAGTAAAGTAACATTACATGATAATCAATTCCTCAAACATATCATATCAAATATATATAACTTCATTGCAAATCAATGTAATATTATAAATGGTGATATAAAAGCATTCATATATGATGTTTCAGGACCACATTTTATTATTCTCTTGAAGAAAAATGATCTCAATTCACATCTAATCACCTAATATCTTAATATCTTTCTTTAATAATTAAGTGCTTATATAAACTTTTCAAAATATTCGATAAAACTAAATAAATCAATGTTGATGCAAATCAATATGTATATCTTCATATGAACAAATATAATGACAGAGAAAATTTCTTGAGGATCTTTATAAGCTTTTGTCATCTTTAATCCATCTAGGATTTTCAAATAAACATCACTATATAATGAGCCATATAAATAAGCTAGCATTTATTAGACATATATTAGATTTCTATATTGTCAGACTAATAACATGCCAAAAGATCATTTTATCCACTATAAAATAATATATTAATACATATTTTGAACATTTGTAAGACATTCTTAAATTAAAAGTCAAGCTTTACATGTGACATTTCTCTTTCTCATATACACTCGTGTATAGTATCCCACTTTAGGTGCTTGAATTATATGTTCATAACTTTCATAACATGAACAAGTGAATGCAATTCTACTTGTCATCCTTTTTTCTAATTTGATAAGCTTTCTATCTGCATTCTATCAAGATCATCATTTGATTGTAATATTTCATTCTCATTAAAAGTGTTGTTAACAATTTTATTCTTTTCAGTTCCGTTATTTCTCATATTGACATAACTTCTTAAGAACTTTTTATTCTTATCAGGCACCTAATCCTCTTTTAAAAACTTAAAGTCAGTTATGTCTTCGCCTCTTCTAAAATGCCAGCCTCTTTAATATGAGCATCTTGATTATAGCCTCCTCTTTTCTCTTTTTATAAGGTTTTATTTCTTTGGAACTGATTTGCCTTTCATGCTTCAAGAGTGGTTCAATTTTTTTTCTTTGTATCCTGAAGCATTGTCAGCTAAAACATGAATTTTGTAACCTCCTCCTATATTCACTCAATATAGGAGAAGATTAATAGAATCGCCACATCACTAATTAGAACAGTAATCAAATATTTTATTTGAAAAGCTTCAGTTAAAGACTTGTTTATAAAATCATCCAAAATCATACCATATCATAGAATACACAGCGGAAGCAAATCACACATTTGTATCAAGCGTAATGGATATAACCACTAGCATTCCTATCTCAATTGCATGCCTTAAAAATCACAAACTTAGGTTAGGAATTGGTTTGTACGCCTTAGCGTGCAATACATGCGCCGTGGCATGTGGCATAAAGCCACACGCTCAATCTTTTGTGACGTGCACTGCGGCATGTAGCACCATGCACCGCAATGCGCCTGTCTAAATTTCTGTTGTCATTTTGACAGTAAAATAATGAACTTCTAGCATGCACCGTTTTCACATACAATGTTCGATTGGAGTGATTTAAGAGCCTACATAAAGCTTATCTCATAAGCTAACTAATGAGATAAGTGTAGACATGATCTAACGATTTGATCAAGATTTAGACACCCAGGTGCAAAAAGTCACATTTTATAAAAGATTTGTGCACCTAAACTCTCAATCTCTCATTAAACCACATAAGGCCTTCAATCAAGTCCAAAAGGACCTATATACCTAATTGACCATGATTTACCACAATCATACTCATATATTAAAGTTTGACCCTTCTAAAGCTAATTTTCACATTTCTCAAAATTGCACACATTGCTAACACTTGGTATAACATAGTCTACTTGATCTTTTTCTCAACATAAACATATACATTCACATTCATATCATTTGTATTACTCAATCTTAGTCTCAAATTACTCATTTTATCATAATTTTTCACTTAGACTTAAGATTTACCAATATCAACAACAATTTCAACGCAAACATACTTAAATCATAACCCTCGAATCATTTCATCATGTATATATACAATTGGGCTAAGATTCCATAAAATCACTACTTTAACATGTATGCAATCCTATGGCAATTCATTTACCTCTATATATACATAAGTTTCTTAATTCATTACAAAATCTTAGAGTATACACAGCTTTAACAACTTAAGCCAGTTTAGACTCTCTTCCCTTGCCCTGATCACTGCCTTGCCCTGCAAACATGTAACTACCAGGGTGAGAAAAATTTCAGTAACAAAATAACTCACTTTTAATGACTATCACATACAACTATATGAAAATAAAGCATAATACACCATTTAAACCTCAATAACATAGCATATAACACAAGTTCATTTAAATCACATCAATGTTTCACATTTAACCTCTTTACACCACTTTACTACCACAAACATCACATAGCATGTCATAGCATGATCCTTATCAATCAAACTTGCAAATCATCCCAACTCGAAATCATAGGCTCGCTTTAGACCCATATACACTCTCATTGGTCCTGAGCTCATCTTGGTGGTAAAATCACTTGAGAAAAGGTGTTCTATCTCACTTCCAAACTATGATTTTTCCCAATACACACAATGGAGTGTTGTTGACTCCAACACCGTATCAAATAGATACTAAGGAGTCTCAAATCTTCAACACCGTACCTTAAAAGGCATTAAAGAGGTATTTCTCCAACACCGCATCCCGTCAAGCACTAAGAAGAATATACCATATGGTCTTCTCACTGCCTCTCTACTCGGGTGAACTCCTACTTCTATAATCATGCTTTCCAAACCATTCAAGATTTCTCGTTACTAATTTACATGTTTTCTTATGCATAACATATATATATATTATCATACCATTTGAAATCACCCATTTTAATGCTTTTATTTTATCAAAATTTATTTCATGTAACATTCACACAATGCTATTAACACTATTATCGAATAGCACCAAAATTAATAAAAACTAAATTTTACAGTAAAGCGTAACCTAGATTGTCTCTCTAAGAGTCAATGGAGTAACTATTTGAATTATGGTTATGAAAAGCTAAAAAAGTGGAGGGTTTTTTTTATGAAATTAAAACTAAATTAGAATTAAATAAATAGAAAAAATTCAACTATGAAAATTATCAAGCATAAGCAGCGTAATCAATCACGACCCA